AGCGCCGCGGGCCGCGCGGGTTCTCCCCGCCGCGGCCCGCAAAGGCGCTTCCCCGGCTCTCGGCCGCGCCCCGCGGGGCCCTGTGCTGCTTGCGTTTGCCTCCTGCCCCGCGGCCGCCGGGCGCCCTGGGCGGTTTGCAGGGAAAGCAGGCGGGGCGCAGGCTGGCCCAGCTCTGTGCCCCCCCGACCCCCCCCCCCCGCAGATGCCCTTTCTGAGAGTGCGACATGCGGGGCTGCGGTGGGCTCACCCCTCACCTACTGGGCTCGGCCTGAGGGCTGCAGCTGAGCCGGCGTGCGATCGGCTGGCAAGGGGCGGCCGGCCTTCTCCGCAGCCAGACGGGCAGCCAGAGGCCTGCCGGGCCCTTCCCTCCCGGCCTGCCCTGCCCCACGAGGCCTGCAGAGTCTACCCTGGGGGCTGCTGCTGTGCTGGGGAGGGCCCCCGAGGGTGTTCACCTTGGAGGCACTCAAGAGACCACCCCCTCCCACAAGCCCCCTGAAAAGACAGGCGAGGGGTCAACCGGACGATCTTGTGACGTTCCTGTTTCTGTTTCTGCTTCTGCTTCTTAGGGACCGGCTGAGACCCAGAGGTGAGTGCCCAGCCCGGGACAAGCTGCTGGATCGGGGCCGCCTCCACTGCAGCTGCCATGCCCTGGCTGGTGAAGCTGTACCTGCTGGGCCTGCTGGTCTCTCTCCTCTCAGCTCTCTTTGGGCTGCTGGGGTTTGTGGATGAGCTGTTGCCCCTGCCGGGGCTGGAGCCCAGCCTCTCCGAGCAGTGGACGGGATCCGCGGGCAGCAGGCTTGTGGGCGGCCCCCGCCTGGGCCTGGCAGGAAGCGTCAAGCTGCAGCCCCACAGAGCCGTCGGCTCGTACCTGTGAGGCGGATGCCATGCTGTGGAGCCGGGCCGGTGGCGCACGGGGAGCCTGGGACCAGAGACCTGCCGGGCCTTTGCCGCCTGCCCCCCGCAGAGCCGCGACCCTTGACGGCGTTCCCAGATGGAGTTGCAGGACTGGCGCCTCGCCCACGGGGCGCTTCCGGAGCAAGCCGAGGCTTGGAAAGAACTTGCCGCCGAGGGCTAGTGACACGTGGGCCGCTGTGCTTCTCCGGCCCCGGCCCACCCTCCTGCGGTGGGTAGACCTCCTCCGGGGCCCTGCTTCTCGGCCCATCTGCACTCTCCCGGCCCTGGGCCCACGCGTGGCCTGGCCGTTTCGCTAAGCCCTACGAAAGTGCGTGTCCCATGGGTTGAGCCAGGGCCAGCCCCCGCCAAGAAACCTGCGCGGCACACGGGGAGCGGCTGGCGCTGTGCAGGCGCCCGCAGGGCCACGGTTGCCCAAGCAGCTGGCTGACGGGCCTTAACGCGGAAGCGCCTTTGTGCCCCACCCCGCTGCCCCGAAGGAGCGGCAGAAGGGGGCTTGCTTCATCCCTGAGCCCCACGGCGGCAGCCAGAGCCATTTCGCCTTCGCCAGCCTCTCCACGGGGGCAACGGGGCCCTGCTGGCCCCAGCTACATGGGGGATGTGGCCTCTGTGGGGCAGCGCGAGGGGGGCGGCAGCAGGGCTGCGGTGGAGCACACCAGGCCGGGAAGCGGGGAAGGCTGCTGCTGTGGGGCTGGCAGCCGCTGCTCTGAGCCGGGCACCCCACGGCTACCTGGAGCAGGCGGGCAGCTGGGCCCAAACGAAGACGCACGGGGCAAGAGCTGGCCTGAGAGGGCAGGCCTGCGCTGGGGGGCACACCTCGGGGTGGTGACCCCCTGAACCCGTGGCTTGCTGTGCTGACCTTCGCCTGATCTCCTCCTGCTGAAGTCGCTACAGGGAGGGGCAGTGGAAATGGTGCCCCCCCCCCCCCGTTGCAAGTTCAGGGCTGGTGCTGCGGCGAGGGGAGGGGAGGGGCCTCCGACGCTTGTTTTTCAATAAATGCAGAGCTGGTTTTTAAACTTCTCGCTGTGAGCGTGTGTTGCGGGGAGGGGTGCTGGGGGCACAGGGTGGCCCGCGGTGCCCTGCAGGGACGGGCTGTGCAGGAATCTGGGGGTGCAGCCTCCCCCCTTGCCCCTTCATCCTAGGAAACTGGCTAGGCAGGGGAGTTGGGCCTGCAGGATTCTGTGGGACGCGGCCCCGGGACCTCCCGTGGGAAGGAGTGCAGGCCCAGTGTGACCTCACAGCCCCAGCTGGGCAGCCCCCCCAGGGCATCACTGTGATGCGCTGCCCGCCCAGCGCCCCAGCGGCTGCCGCCGGCTGAGCCAGGCAGGGCCAAGAGAGGCGGCGCCCCGAGGGGCATGTGCGCCGTGCTGAGCCCTGCTCTCGGAAGCCCCCATGTCTGAAGGGGCCCCCGCGGACCCCCAAGGGGCTGGCGAGGTGCTGGGCCTGGAGGGGGGGCTGCTCTGCCGGCTGGTCCACTCCCCAGACTACAACCTGTTCCCTAACTCGGCCGTGTTTGAGAGCAACTTCTTGCAGGTGCGTCCGGGCCGGGGGCCGGCGGGGCTGTTCGGGTCCGGCTGCTGGTTCTCGCAGGCAGGCGGCCCCTCGGGGCTGCCCCCCTCCCCGCCTTTGAAAGGCCCGTTTGGTGCCCAGCTGACTCGCTCTGCTCCCGGCCTGCTCTGTGCCAGGGCCCTCCGGGCTCCCCGTGCTGCTCGTCTGCCCTCGCCCCTGCCAGGCTCCGGGGAGCTGGGAAGCAGAGCGGGATTTGCCCCAGGGTGGTCCTGGCCCCAGCCTGGCTCTCCGGGGGCCTTGCCCCATTGCCACGGGGGGAGGGCCTGCCTTTGCTCGGTGTGCCTCCAAGGGCAGCTCCTGGCAGAGTCGGGGGTCTCCCTTGAGCGGGGGCAGGCCAAGCTCCAGCTCAGCTTGGGCAGGGAAGGGCAGGGGGCCTCGATGGCCAGGCCGGCCTCAGCAGCACCTATCCTGCTCGTTGCCACTCCTGGGCCAGAAGCGCAGCGGGGGACTCGCTGGGGGTTGGTGCTCGGGGGGCAGAGCCGCAGGGCACACGGCCTGCCCGTCCCCAGGAGCAGCTCCTCGCCTGTCGGCCTTCCCTTTGGTCCCCAGCCCTGGCGGCAGCGCCGCCCCCTGCTGGGCGGGGGGCCAGGACGCCACCTCAGGCTCAACCGTGGCCCCTGAATGGGTGGGGGGGCTTTCTCCGCAGGTGACAAAGAAGGGGAAGTGGGTGGACATCACCAACACGCCCACCATCGTCATCATGGGCGTGACCTCCTCCGACCCCTGCCTCCCACTGCCCAACGTGCTGCTGATGGCCAGGCAGCAGGCCCCCCTCCCGAGAAGCGCCAGTGAGGCCCCCCGGCGGCCCGCCATAGACCTCACCCGGTAAGGGCCGGCCGGTCTGCCTTCGCCCCGGGGAGGGAACCCGGCCCAAGGCCTTCGGGGCCTCGCAGTGGCTGCCCCCGGAGCCGAGGCCCCGGCACGGCTTCCCTCCCGGCCCAGGGGCCAGGAGTGCCGGGCATCCCGTCAGAAACAGCGGGCGGGCACGGGCGGGCAAGCGAAAGCGCTTTGTGGGCAGGTCCTGCCCGTGTCGCCTGGGCAAGGCTTTCACGCTGGCCGGCCAGGAGTCGGTCCTGCTGCCTCCGCTCCAGCCTGACTGCTGGAGACCCCCGAGGGCTCAGGCTTCGTCCCGCTAGGCGGCTGAGGCAGGCAGTTCTCAGTCCCAAGTCTCCCCCACGGCCACTGAATCCTGTCTCGGGGCCGCTTCCTGCCTCACAGTATTCTAAGATAACATCCAAGCTTAGGCAGCTCGTGGCCCTCCAGGAGTGCCGGTCTGCAGTTCCCATCCGCCCCAGCCAGCACAGCATAACCAGTGGGAGTTGTAGGCCAAACCAGCCGAGGCTCCCGCAATTGCTGAGTTGGAGGGGGGCAGGCGGACGAGTGAGTCCCACGCCTGTGCCATGCAGGACTGAGCGCTGTCAGCCCCCCCCCCCCCGGCTGTCCCGCTGCATCCCGAGTGCCTCCCGTGGGTGGACACCCCTCCCGGGTCGCGGGTGCCGGAGCTGCTCTGCTCCAGTAGCGATTGTTTAGTCGCAGAGTCGTGCCCGACCCATCGTGACCGCCCGTGGTTCTGTGTCTTGCACCTCGGGATGATCGAGAAGAGACGCCGGCCTTCCCCTTTGCGACGGCCCTTCGAGAGCCCTGGAGTGCCCTCCGGCCTCCCCCAGCCTCGTCTCTCCTCATGGGGCTTGTCTGCAGCCGCCTGGGTCTTGTGTCGCCCTCTGACCCGTCGAGCTGGTCCGCACCCTTGCGCAACTGCAGAATGACCAGGGCTGCTTAAAGGGGAACGAGGCCTTCATGGGACTTGGAAGTGGTCCTGCTACTGGCGTCAGTAGTATTTGCCTTTTTTGTAGCCACATCACGCTCCTATTCATTCAGCTTGTTGTTAGTTGCAAAGTTGCACCCGACCCATCGTGACCCCATGGACAACGCTCCCCCAGGCCCCCCTGTCCTCCACCTTCCCCCGGAGTCCCCCTGAGCTCGCACCCACCGCCCCAGTGACCCCATCCAGCCCCCTCCTCCTTTTCCCGTCAATCGTTCCCAGCATCAAGCTCTTCTCCGGGGAGGAGAATGATGTCAGCTGCCTTGAGCCCTTTGTAGGGAAAAGGCAGGATATAAATCGCAATATAAATAAATAAAGATATTTTACATCCACGGTATTCTCACCGTCCACCGGGGAGGTTACCCAATCAAAAATGAAATCAAATTAGTCTAGCAGGACTTGCTGTTGAAAAATCCATGTTGGTTTCTAGTAGCCACTGCTTGGTTTTCTTGGTGTTTGCAGACTGACTGCTTTATAATCTGCCCCTGACTTTGGTATCAGAGCAACTGGTCTGTGTTTCCCAGGTTCCCCCTTCCCCCCTTTTGAGGCCAGGGAGTGCATCAGCCGCCCTGCAGCCCCCGTGCAGGTTGCCCACCCTGCGCGAGTGCACAAATCAGAGACGGTGGTCCCGAGAGAACTCCTGCCATAGAGCCCTAGCACAGCGGAGACGGAAGGGGCCACAAAGGCCAGCGAGTCCACCCCCAATGCAGGACACCAAGTCGCACCGTCCCTCTCAGAGGGCGCCCAGCTCCTTTGCTCCTTCAGGATGCGTTCTCCGTGGGCCCTGGGGAACGGCGGCCACTCGAAGTCCTGAGCACTTGCCTCCCCATCTCAGGCCGCAGTCCTGCTGGCTCAGCTCGTACTTCCCCTTTGCCAAGGAGGCCATCGATCTTCTGGGGAAAGAACGAGCCGAAGAGGAGCCAAGCACTTCTGCCCTTTCTTTGTCACCTGTTATCATTCCGCCATCCTCAGGGAGTCGTTGAAATGCTATTTCTTGCCTGCCTTTTACCACGTGTGCATCTGAAGAAGGCTTTTCCGCTGCTGCTACGAATAGCTTCCCTCCGCGCATGCTCAGCTTTAGCCTTTCCAAGGCTCTCCTCGCAATTCCGAGCCTCCGGCCCGTGCCCCCCCTTTGCAGCCCAGCCTTCCTTCCACTTCCTTGGTGCTTCCAGGCCACCCCAAAACCTTTTGTGAAGTCTCATTGGCTTCCTTCCTTCTGCCTTTTCTTTTGTCAGAATTGTTTCTAATTGCACCTTTAGAATCTCCTTTTTAAAAAATTCCCTCCCACCTTGGTCTCCTTTTCCAAGAAGCATTGCTTGCGTTGGGACATTATTTATCACTGTTCTGAGTTTGTTAAAGTTAACTTTTCTAAAATACAGGTTATATGTTTGGCTGTCCTTGACTTAGAATCAAGCTTGGCACCATCATTTCCCCCAGAGTTCCCATAACAGCCACTTGAGCCACGAAGCCATCTCTGCTGGTTAGACTCAAATGAGGGGTGGGCGACCCCCCCCCCGCCCTTTCCTTCCTCCAGCTTCTGCAGGAAGAAGCGGTTGGCAACGCAGCTCAGGAGTTTCTCAGAGGCCGCTGTCTGGCAACAGATAGTGGGGCAGTCGAGGTCGGGGCCCACCTCTGACCGGACACATTTCCAGAGCTTGGCTAGGAGGACAGTGAGTCCAGGCCACGAGTATCGAGAGTGGCTGCCCCACCCTGATGCCCTCCAGACATGCGGGCTGGTGTCCCGGGCGACGGGCCGCTGCCCTGCGGTGGGGCCAGGAACAGCTGTGCCCGCTCGGCAGGGGTGCCTTCCTCGGCGAGGGGTCCTGTGCGCCCTCCGGGCCAGGGTGCCCCCAGCTTGCGCCCCTCGGCCCCGGGCTCTCCACGGGACCCCCGGCTGCTCCTGCCTCACGCCCAGCACCCAGCTGGCCGCGTTGCCTTCTCCCAGGCTGCTCCCACTCCGATACGTCCGGCTGTCCGTCCACGATGCCGCTCGCCGGATCCTGCGCGTTCAGACGGTGACAGGGAAGGTGTACTACCTGCAGCTGCACCCAGAGCACCCCCGTGCCGTCTTCGCCCTGTGGAGCCGCCTGGCCGACATCCTGCAGCGGGGCCTCTCCATCACCACCAAGGACCCCAGCATCCGCATCCGGCACAGCCTGGTGCCCAGCGGGGGCAGCAGCCCCACCAGCAGCAGCTCCTCCGCGGAGGTAGGGCCCCGCCCCCCACGCACCCCTCTCCCTGAGGACTTGCATGGGGCTCCGGGGCACTCGGGCCTTTGGGGGCACAGCGCCGGACTGCATCAAGCAGCTTGGAGTTCCCTCAGCTGAAGCGCCACGGGCACCGGGTTGCCCCCGTTTTGTGGCCAGGCAGCACGAAGCTCGGCCACACGGTGCTGTGTCGGAAGCCAGCGGGACTGGCCCACCTGCTCCAGACGAGCCGGCTGCCCCGGGGGTCCAGCACACCTGCGTGCCCTGGAGGCGGCAGGCAAGCCTGGCCCCCGCACGGCCGGTCCCAGGGGCCGGCAGTCCCGGCAGGAGCAGGGGCCGCAGCGGCCGAGGCGAGGAGGGCTTGCCTGGCCTCCCACTGCCCTGCGCCTCCCTTTCCTGGGTGTGGGGAGTGCTGGCCGGAGCAGCTCGGCGACTGCGGTCCATCCCATCCCGCGAGGGGCTGCCAGCTTCCCGCTCCCCCTGCGAGGCTCCTCTGTGCAAGAGCACACGCCCGGATCGGGCTGCAGGGCAGGAGGGCACGCTCTGTGGCGTGGCGTGGCGTGGCTTGCCTTGCGGAAGAGGTGGCCCAACCCCACTGCGACATGCCTGGCTCTTGCCTGCGCCAACAGTACCCGGAAGACGTGCCACAGAGCCGGAGTGTGATGAGGAGGGTCGGGAGGAAGATGTCGGGCGTTTTCTCCCAGATCTCGGGAAAGCCTTTGAGGAAAATGGAGAGACGAAGAAGGTAAGCGGTGTCCTTTGCGCAGCTGCTACCAAGCCGGGCCAACACAGGCAGCAGCGGAGCGCCCGGCTCGCGCTCAGGCGCCTGGGCAGGGCCAGGCGGCGATGTGCTGCACTGGCCTGCTCTGCTTGCTGCCCCGTGACCTGAGCCCGGGATGCTCTTTAAAATGGTCTGTGTTGATGTCCAGTTCCTGCCGTGTTGCACTTGCCAAACGCCTCCCTCTGTTCACCACTCTGGTCTCACGGAAAGAAGGGCTGGAACATTGGTGCGAGAGCGACGGCACCACCGCGCCACCGGGGCCGTGTTCTCCCAAAGGCCTGGTGGGCCCCGCTTCTCGAGATCCCCTGCTCGGCGGGCGCCAGAGGGTGGCAACGGGCGGCCTCCAGCTGCACCTCCTGGGCCCGGCCCTGGTCCTTCCCTTCTGCCGGGGAGAGGGCTGCGCGTGCCTTCCCCGAAAGGGTGCTGCCCCACTCCAGCAACCCAGCAAGCTCCACGTGTGAGCTCGCCCTGGGCAGGGAAGGGAGACGGGCAGGCGTGCCCTCTCCCGGCTCGTGCCCCTTGCTGGCCAGCCCGGCCCGTGGGGCCCTCGGGTGCTGGCATGCTGCTGCCGGCGCCAGCAGAGAGCCGGGGTGCCTGGGCTGAGTGGGCCGGTAGCGCATCCCCTGCCCGGTCCGTGGGCCGGGCAGGGTGGCCGCTTCCCCCTCGCTGCTGCGGGAAGATCAGGAAGCGGCTCCTTTAAGCCGCAGAGCGGCGGGGCAGTGGCAGCCCCGGTCCCCAACCTGCTCGGCTGGGGAGCTCCCTCAGCTTGGCCCAGGGTCGCTGTCACAAGGCCGACACGGCGTGGACGAGGCAGGCTGCCCTGCGCTCCACACGAGAGGGGAAAGGCCAGGTACCAGCGCGAAGGCGTAGCGAGCAGGTGCTCGCCACAGGGAAGCGAGATCTGGGGCGGCCGCAGGGGCCTCGGCCATGTCCTCCCGCTCTTCCTGGGACAGGCCCGTCCAGGTGCCGAAGTGCCCCCTCCCAGGCAGGGGGTGGTGGACAAAATGGCCCCACAGAGCCCCGCAGGAGGAAGGCTTCTCCAGGAACTGGGCGGAAGGAACTGGGCGAGCCAAAGGCAGCTAGAGAGCCCAGACAGCCGGGGCGGCTGCGGCACTCCTGGGTCAGCAGGGCGTGTGGCTCTCGGGCCTGCCGGAGCTGTGCAGCCCTGGCCGGCGGAGGCAAGCGGAGGGGCGGCTGCGCAGCCGAGGCTCTTGCTGGCGCCCCGTTCAGTCCGAGCCCCGGAAAACGGCCCCAGCGAGGGCCACTTCCAGGCAGCACGGGCGGGGGGACCAGGCCATGCGCCGCCGGTCCTCCACGAGCATCATGACTGCCATGTCGCTCCTGCCACCCCTGCCCTGGAGCGTCCGCTCAGAAGAGCCGCCTCGAGGCACGCTCCAGCGGGGCCCTCCCGGGGGGCACGTGCTGCCGAAAAGCGGCTGCTCGTAGGGGTCTGGGGAGCGTTGTGGAAAGGGTGGCCTCGGCCTCCTGCTTCAAAAGAGGGTGACGCCGTTGGGCCGCTTTCTCTCCTTTGCCGCCAGAGTGTCATTCCAGGGAGAGGCTCCGGAGGACGTGTCCGCCATGTCCAATGACATTAAAGGTAAGAGGCCGACACTCGGTGGGCGGTGGGATTCACCCACAGGACGTCCACTTCGGCAGGAGAATCCTGCCATCGCGGTCACAATCATCATCGCAAAGAGGTTCCAGGCACTGCTGGGCTTCCCCACAGCAGTCCACTGGGGCACTGGAGACCGCCCAAAGCGGCCCTCCACCTTGCGCCCGGGCCGGCTGGGGGCCACCTTAATAGCACAGGAAGATCCCGGGCCCAGGGCGCTGCATGCAGCAGCCGCGAGAAGCCTCCGCGCCACCGGCAGCCCCAGCCCTCGCCCGCGGCGAGGCGAGGCGCTCCTCCCGCTTGTCGGCGTGGGGGTGCGCGGAGGGGCGCCTCCACGAGGGCGTGCGCACGTGCCTCCGCTGCACTGGCGGCAGCAGGGTCGGGCCCCTGCCCTGGCCTGCCCCCGCTTACCTCGCCCGCCTGCCTTGCAGTGCTGTTCTACGACATGCCCCCGCCGCTGGTGTGTGCCCGGTGCAAACGGCGGCTGCCCAGTAGGCCCCCGGGGGGCGCCGGCGAGCTCAAGCCCTCTGCACCCGACCTGGACCTGCTGCCCTGGATGGACGGGAGAAGCCACGGCCTCTGGCAGCAGGAGACGCCCTCCTGGCTGCAGCCGCTCTGCCGCCTCAGCAGCCTGGCTGCCGCTGGCTGGAAGTAGCGCCGGTGCCCGAGGGACGGGTGCCTGACCTGGGCCGCAGGCAGGCCCTGCCCGGCAGGGAGGCACCGGCCGGCAGAGACCGCAGTGAGAGCTAAAGCAAAATAAATCTAAAAGGCTGGGCAGGAGGGCGCTGTGCCTGGCACTCGGGGCAGGGGCAGGCGGGCGGTGAAGCCTGAGGTCCGCCGTGCCTGATCTTTCCCGCTCCGGGACTTGGGAGGTGCCGCCTCGCTGCCCAGGGGCGCAGCGTATTTGCCCAGGGAAGGGGAGGGGAGGGGAGGGCAGCTGGGCCCCCTCCTGATTTCTGGGCCCGGGGACAGTAAAGGAGGCGTGCCCTGCCCGCCTGCCTACACACCCCGTAACCTGTAGGGTGAGGAGCCACTCTTGATCCCAAAGGGGAGGGGCCACTCAGGCTGCTCTGCCTGGGAGTCCCCCCGCAGGGGGGAGCCATTGCACCCTCCCGCGAAGGGGGCCGGTGTGCATGGGAGGGGGTTCCCACAGCTTGTGGGAGCAGCTGCCCGGGCCGGAGCACGGCCGGATGCTTCCTGCCAGCCCCCACCTGTGTGGGACTGCAGCTTGCGTGGCTTGCTGGGGATCATGGGAGCTGTAGTCCATCGCATCTGGACAACCCACTGCAGCTCCATCCATAGGCCCCGTGGCATCCACGCCAGGGCAGGGGATCAGCGAGCGACTCTGGCCCCCGGCCGCTTTGCTTCGTCCCGTGAGGGCCGGTCCTCGGACGCAGCGCTTCAGCCCTAAAGGGCCGCACGCATCTGGCAAGGAGCCGCACTGTGCGCCGCCAGGCAGTGAGGCTGCCAGGCGCAGCCTCGGAGCTCCGCCCACTGGTCGCTGCATTCTGAAAAGACGCGTGGAAGACCCTCCGTGCGCCGGAGGGCTCGGCTGGATCTGCTGGGCTGAATCGCGGAAGTCTTCCTCCTGCAGACCAGCCTCCGGCGCCCGCCCACCCGCACTCCCGCAGGGGCTGCGCCACAGGGGCGGCTCTGCAGCTCGGCCCGTGGCTTCCCGTCCGAGGGGCCTGCGTTGCGCGATGCGGGGACCCCTGCGCGGCGCGCGGGGAGAAGCGCTACGGCGCACCGGGTCGTCGCGGCTCAGCCGGGCCCTTGTGCGGGGAGCGAGGCGGGGGCTCCTGCCCGGCTTCTCTGCAGAGGCGGCCTTTTCTGTCCCCGCCGCAGGCGGAAAGGCGGCTCCGCTCCGAGCCCCGCCGGCCTTTCCACGCCCCCCCCCTCAAGCAAGCGCCCCCTCCCCGCGTTGGCAGCCGCCTTTCCTCGCCGTGGCGCCTCTGCGCACCGGGGCCCGCGCCGCGCGCCAGAAAAAGGGAAGGCGGCTTCCCGGGGGCCGCCCACCGCCTTCGCGCCCCCGCCGGCTGGGCGCCACTGCCGGCGGGGTCGCCCCGGGGCCCCTGGCCAGTCGCCGGCTTCTGGCCCGCGCAGGAGCGCGAAGAGCGCAGCCCCTCTCGCCGCGCGGGCTTCGAGCGAGGGGGGGAGGAAGGGCCGGCCCGCGCGCCAGCAGAGAGCGCAGCCCGCGCAAGGAGGGGGCCGGCAGGATGGCTTTATCCGCCGCCGCAGCCCGGCCGCCAGCCACGGCCGAGGCGGGCCGATCGCCGGGCCGGGCTCCAGCCTCTCCTGGCGCGCACGGGGCGGCAGAGGGCGCCCTGCCGCCAGCGCCGAGGCCGCCGCCGCCGCCGCCTTGCCCGCCAGAGCGGTGAGGCCGGTGCGCCCGCCCCGCGCCGCTCCGCAAGCAGCGCCGGCCCCCCTGCAAACACCCGGCCCGAAGGCCGCTCGGGCCGCCCTTCCCTGGCCCCGCATCCGGCAGCTGGGCACAAGCGCAGAGGATCCCGCCGGTCAGAGCCAAGGGGACCCCTGCGAGGCACGGGGGCCGCACCACCACAGAGCGGTGAGGCGGATCCGGCGTTCCAGCACAACCCAGGACCCTCCCTCTTCCTGCGGCGTGTTTGCGGGCAGCTTCCACAAAACAGAAAGTTCTGCATACACATAAGACACCAGCATCTAAACTGTTGCACATAAACCTCAATAAAGGCAGGCCAAGTTTCCCTAGACTTCTCCTTTTACATGTGCCACCTAAATATCCCGATTCCAGACCGGAAAAGCATCATTAGGTTGCCAGTCCTAACCCAGACCCGATCCAGGCCTTCCACTTTGTGACAGCCTTTCATGGACTTGCCGAGTGAGTCCTATCGCCTCCCCTCTGAGTCTTCTCTGCTCAAGGTAAAGCACACCCAGCTGTTTCCCCTTCTCCTCACAGGGCTGTTGCCAGTCCCCTAGCCCCCTCTGCTGCCGCCCTCTGAGCCCTTTCCAGCTTGTCTGCATCTTTCTCAAATGTGTCCAGAACTGGGCATGGGACTCTAGAGGAGGCCTCACCAGTGCTGAGTAAACTGGTCCTTTGTATGATCTGGAAAAGATACTTTATCAATGCAGCCCAAAATAGCCTTTTTGCAGCCCCCTCACACTGTTGACTCAGATTAAGCTTGTGATCGCCAACAATACCAAGATCCTTCTCTTGCTTGTAGTACTCTTGAGTCAAAGCTCCCTCCGTCCATTACTCTGCGTCAGTTCCCTTTTCCTAGGTATAGAATTTGGCATTTGTCCCTGTTAAATTCCATTCAGTTATTTTCAGCCCAGCACTCCAACTTGCGAAGACGGCTCTGAATTTTTTCCTGCCTTGCCACCCAAATTTGGTCATCTGCAGACCAGCATTCCCTGCCCCCTTCATCCAAGTCGTTAATTAAAAGGCTGAAAAGCACTGGGCCCCACGGTTCCCCACTTGTTACCTCCCCCCAGCGTGAGAAGGTGCCATGGATGGGCGCCCCTCAAGTCCGATTCTGCAGCCAGCAGCGGATCCGCCGGAGCGCTGCCCCGGCCAGTCCCCTTCTAGCTGGTCTGCTGATAGAAACGCTGTCAAGAGCTTCACTGAAGTGGAGCCACGGCCCGTCCGCAGCATCCCCCGGCCTGCCAGAAGTGTAATCAGATCGGCCCGGCAGGCGCTTTCAGGGCCAGTCCACGCTGGCTCCTAGTCAGCTGCTCAGGCAGGAGCTGGAAGCAGCAGTGGCCGGAGTGCCCCGGGCTGCCTCTTCGAGCCGAGGACCTGATGGAGCTGAGGCGAGCCCCTCAGTGCCACCCTCTGCCTGCCACAAGTGCCAGGCCACGGGTGCAAGAGGCCCCTCTGCGCTTGCCGGCAGCCGCCTCCTGCCCGCGCATCTTCTAAGGAGCGGTGGAGCACGGGCCTCGCTGCCTGGCCTTCCATCGTGCGGTTTGCTCAGTTGTATTCCCAAGTCTGCCCAGAGCGACAGGCTGGGGCCCGGGGCCCGGAGCTTTCAGGCCCTCGCTGTCGGCCTCATGGGCGGCAGCAGATTGCACAGTGGTGCCCAGGACTCTGGGGCTTCCCTGGCCTTTGGGGGCTCACTTTGCTGGGGTGGTTTTGGGTTTCTCGGCTGTGGGGAGAAGGGAGATGCTGCTTGCAAACACACGTAAAACAAGCTAAGAAGTACACCGGGGGGGGGGGGGGGGGGGGGATTTGCCTGAAGGCTGCTGGACTGGCACCCGGAAGGGCCCTCCAAGGGTGGGCAGGTCTCCATTTTCCCTGCAGCAGTGGGAGGGGGCCGTCTGGGGCTTCCTGCTGGGGGGCCCTGCCGAGATGTGGACTCCCAGCATGCGCACAGCCCTCCTCAGCCTTGACGCTGGCCCTGCACAGAGTTTCTCGGCCCTTCGTGCATTTGTGCAGGGGAACCACGTGGTGAGACATGATATAGGACTGAACTCCGGAGTTACTCAATCTCGGCCAAGAGCCAGAAAGGCAGAAGATGTGGGTTTCTTCTTCAAGCGGGACTCCGCTGAAGAAATCAGTGTCCAGTTCTGGGCACCAAGATATAAGAAAGATGCAGGCATATTGGAAAGGGTCCAGAGGAGGGCAACAAAAATGATCCAGGATTTGGAAGCACTGCCCTGTGGGGAGAGACAGAGAACTGGGCATGTTCAGCCTTGAGAAGAGAAGGCTGAGGGGGGACATGATATCCATCTACAAGGACCTCAAAGGCTGTCCCAAAGAGGAAGGTCAAGATCTCTTCTTGCTGATGCCAGAGTACAGGACACGGAATCATCAGTTCAAGTTGCGACAACCCAGATTCAGGCTGGACATCTGGAAAAACTTCCTCATGATCAGAGGGATACGGCAGTGGAACCAGCTGCCTGGAGGGGAGGGGGGCTCTCCCCCACTGGAGGCGTTCAGGAAGAACCTGGGCAGCCCCCTGGGTGGGGTGGTGCAACCTGGTGTCCTGCACTGAGCAGGGGCTTGGACCCGGTGGCCTTGACGGCCCCTTCCAGCTCCAGCATTCTGAGATTCCATGGCCGCTGAGAGCAGCCTCGCTCGATCCGTGCGAGGGCCGGAAGCTGCAGCTGAAGCTGAAGGGCTGCTTGCGTGTCCTCAGTAGCACCCCCCCCCCCCACTGTGGCTTGGGGTTTCCTTAGGAAAGGCTTTTCTCCCAGACCCAACAGCTTTAATCGGAAGTGCATTGTTTTCAACGATATATCGGGTGTCCTCTAATTATAGGAATGGGGAGACGAGTACGTTGAAATCCGTGTGCTTTAAAATCCAGGCAAGGCAGCAAGATGTTGGACGAGCTTTATCTTTGGGACTGCATGACCTGATGACCAGCCACTGCGCCTTGCAGCTTCACCTGAACGATTCCGCCTTGGCACGTGGAGGAGACCGCGGGCAGAATGCCTGGGGCCCGCATGTATGGTTGTCCATAAGAGGCTGAGCGTGAGTCTACAGGCCGGTGCCTTCCTTTGGGGAGGGGCCCCCGTGACCCTCAGAGGCTGAGCAGCTGCTCGTGCACAGACAGCTGGCTGGCAGGGTGGGCAGGGCCTGTTGCAAGCCCCCTTCCCCGGAAAGCAGAGCGGTGAGAGCCAGGGAAAGGAGGTCTGCCGAAGGACCGGCAGCAAGGCGGAAGCGTGGCTACATTTCCTGCGGAGGGTTTTCCTTCACCTCCAGCTATGGAACCCCTCCAGCCTGGTCCCCTCTGCACTTTAGGACTTCAACCCCCATCCACCCTGGCTAGCATAGGCAATGGCCAGGAATGCTGGGAGCTGTAGGCTACATAGTTGGAGAGCACCAGAGCGGGGAAGCCTGGCTGGAAGCATCCCGAAAGGGCAGCTGCTAAAGATGCCGCCCTCCACCGAGCTGGCCAGGCTTGGGACACCTGCTCACCAAGGCCTAAATATCACCGGCTAATCCTATAAGGCAGTCGGCACTATGAGACTGGCTTCTCCAGGCTGGGTGGCTTGGCCAGAGAACCCTTTCTGGCAGGCGAAAAGCCCAGACGGCGTGCGCGAGTTGCACACAGCTGTGCTCTCCAAGGTGTCCCTGTGTCCTCCTCCCCTGCAGCACCACTGCCAGCCGGTCCACCAGGGCCAGCAAAGCCGCCCAGCAAGTCCAGCAGCCGCGGGAAGGTCTGGACCAGCCAGTCTGTGAACACCCAGCCACGTGTCCCATGATGAGGATCCATGTCCCGTGATGTCCCATGACAATGACATATTTTATTTTATTTTATTTTATTTTCACAAAGTACATTAAAAAGGACAAGAAATATATGCAGGGAGAGATGCCAAGGGATATTACACAAAAATTGCATGTCATTTCAGTATCTGAATATGTTTTAATGGGGCAAAAATTTCTGTCTGCTATGGTCATATTTAAATCATTCAATGTTTAATCGAACGTGAATCTGGTTTATAACACTAATTGTGAATTGTCTTGTAGCTTAGCATTTGAATAAAAATAACTCCCCTTTGTAAGGATTCTGTTTTATTTAGCATTAGTTAAATTGCTCATAATTAGTTTTCCATCTTTCAATGAATTCTTTTGCTGGTCTTCTGTTAATGCAGTTGGCTTAGCTTTGCCATTGTTGTGGCTTGTTCTTGCAGTCTTTGGCAGCTGGACGGTCCTCAGCGTTCCACTTTGAAGCAATCGTTGCTCTTGCTCCTCTTATCATATGCTCAAATAACTCTAGCGCAATCTTTGGAAGAATCTCTGGCACAACAGTAGTGTCACTTTAGCATTCACGGGGAAGTCAGCTTCAAGTGTTTTCCGCATTTGCACAGGGATCTGCTTCGAAGCTCTTCGGAGCCTGTTGCTCACGTGGAAGCCTGAAGCAACCCGCGAGGCCACCGCCGCCCCGTGGGGAGCGTCCCCTGCCCTTCCTCACGAGGGGCTCCCCAGATGTCCTCAGCATTCCCGCGTCCGCCTGCAGCCTCCGCTGGTGGGGAGCCGCATCTGCCTCGTCGCCCCAGCGGACGCCCAGCCCTGGCTGCACAGAAAAGGGGTTTTCTTTGCCCCCCAGCAGTAGCTGTGAAATATGGCGCCAACAGTGGTATCCTGCAGCTCCTGGGGTTGGTTTTTTTGCGGGGGGGGGGGGTGATATTGGTCCGTGGGTCCTTCATGCTGCCAGGCTCTTGCCCAGGGCTCTGCAGAGGCCGGGGGCTCCATGCCCTTCGCTGATGGCTCACATCTCTCCGCCATGAGTCCAGCCCGCTTGCACAGCGTGTGCTGGCCGGTGTGCCCTGGCCAGGGGCACCGCAGCCCAGACTCGGCAGCAGCAGGCCTCTGGCAAGGGAGAGCAGGAGCGTGTGCCGGGCCGGGAGGCGGGACCAGAGGTGAGGGCTGCCTGGGAGCCGGCTTGGAGGCGCTCTCCTTGCACGGTGTGATCCTTGAGCAGCCCGAGCATCTCTGGGTGCCGCTGGAGGGGGTGGGCACCTTCCCCCCGAGCACATCGGCTCGTGGCAACTGGCGGCTCAACATGCCGCCGTATCCCCAGCCCCTTTGAGCCTGGGCCTTGTCCTTGGCTAGTCACAGCCACCTGCCGGCAGGAGAGCGGCACCTCCGAGCAGGGTTGCCCGGGCCAGCGCACACCAGCCCCGCGCTGCAGGGATGGGAGGAGTCCCCTGGGTGGTGCAGCTTGTCACATCGGTGAACCTGGCTGGCCACGGGTGCCACAACGCTCAGAGTGCGTGACTCGCCTCCCACGGCAACCACCCACCCTGGCCAGCGCTGCGCTGCAGAGGGAACGCAGGCCGGAGAGCGAAACCCCCGTGGCTCGTTTCCTCTGACATCTCGTGAGGCAGGCATGGAGGGAGGGAGGGAGTTCCTCCTTTCTTGCAGGATGCCATTGGGGTGCCACCTCCGAAAAGGCCCTGCTCCAAGTACCTGCCCCCCGATCTCCCTCGAGGAGGGCTCCCGAGAAGGGCCTCTGCCTCCGATCTCAAGGGGGGACTGGCATGTGGGGAAGCTGGTGCTCCTCCAGGCACCCCACACCCAGGCCCTTCAGACTCCAAAGAGGGGTGCTTCTGTGCCAGAGGGGGCAGCCTGGCCCTCCATTGCGGCTCCCTGGGGCCTCCCCACCGCTGCCGCCATCTTCTTCCCTCTCCACCAAGGAGCGCCTCCGCTTCCGTCTGGCTGTGCCAGAAGCTTCCACCTGGGGCCTTCCCCTTGGCCGGGGCGTCAGGGGCCAGGCTGCACGCCACATGGAGGCTTCTGCAGCAGCCCCGCTTGCCCTGCCCTCCTGCGTCTTGGGGAAAAGGCCGCTCCGCTTTACTGCTCACAAGAACGGAGGCGTCCATCGTCCATCGAGGCCGCGGCCACACGACACGGCACGGCAGCCAGGCAGGAAACGTCGGCCCTCCTGCGAGAAGCGGCCACACGCTCGCACGGCACAGGGGTGCGGCCGGGCCGGGGTGCCGTCCCCACCGTGGCCACAGGAGCCCAGCGGGGAGCCCCCGGAGGGAGGGCTGGCGCGCAGCGGCCCCTCACGCACGCCCCCCAGCACGCTGCCTGCCTCTCTCCCCCAGCCACGTCCAACCCCCCTGGGCATTGCTCGCCATTGCTGCGGGGGCGGGTCCCCCAGCTTAGCCCCCTGCCCAGACCTGGCTTAAAGGACCCTGACGAGGGGGAGCCGAGTGGGCCTTGCGAGAGGCCGGCCAGCGGAGGGGTCCGCCAAGGTGGGCTGCAGGTCTCGTTCTGCACGTGCAGGCAGGCCTGCGAATGGGCACGTGCCAGCCAGTGCCTGCGCCTGGGGAGGCAGAGCTTGCCCGCTCACCGTGGCCCCTGGCCACCTGCCCGCTGCAGCCCGTTTGGCTCGCCCCACGGCGGCGGCGGCGCCCCCACCCTTGGCGGGAGCCCCCACCCCAGGGAGCAAGCCGGGGTGCCTGCACTGCCGGCCGTGGGGCAACAGCTGGGCCCGGATGGATGTGCTTTACCCGACCCGTCAGAGATGCAGCCACGGCGAGGTGCTGCGCGTTTCGTCAGGGAAGAATGAGCTGCTGCTGGGAAGGTTCACTGCCCGCCCCCCGCACCGCATATGGCGGGGGGAGGTCCCAGGGCAGCGCAGAGCGAGCCGTGACGCCGACCCACATAACTGCTGCGTTTTGTAGTTTCAGCAATGGGGGGCGGGGGGTACCCACAGCCTGCTGCTTCATCCCTGCAGCCCCAAGTTTGCCCTTGAGCCATCAGGAAGGGGCAGGTTGGGGTCACTCGGGCCCCCTGTTCCCCTTAGCCCTCCCTTGGGGGGCTGAAGGACATCTTGGAAGGAGGGAGCCCCCCCCTTCCCTGCCCATCCTCATTCTTTTCTGTAGGAATTTATTTGGGGGGGGGGTCACAACCCTCATGAGGACAGCTGGGAGCCGGCCCCATGGGGTGTCCTGGCAGTCCCTTGGAGGGCTCATTGCGGCTGCCAAGCATTTCTGTTGTGTGCTTGTGTGTGTGTCCATGTGTGCTCTTGTGTGCATCCAGAGATGAGTGCAGAATCATTACTCCTGTCTGCTCAAAGCCCTTGCCTGCTGCCGTGCAGGGGCTGGATTGTGGGCCTCGCCGGGGGGAGGCTCCATTCGGGCCACGGTGGGCGCAGAGGAGACCGGGATGCCCCCCCCCCCGGGTTTCTCTGGGCACCTTGCAGAAGCCACACTGCCCGGAGAAGCCTCCACCACAGAGACGGTGCCTTTGGCGACTCTGCCCCCTTCCCAGGAAGATCCGTGTCCCTTCCGGCTCCCCCCCTCGTTCTGGCCTTTGTCCGGCGTCTCCTCGGAACGGCACATGGTGTGGATGGGGGGCGCTTTCTCTCAGTTCCCCAGTACCAGGACCCGAGGGGGGTCTCCCACGAAGCCAACGGACGGGAGATTCTGGACAGACGAAAGGGAGCCTCCTGCGCACAGCGAGGCCGAATGCAGCACCAGGCAGCCAGCGGCTGAAGGGGGCTGGGCACCGTCCAGGGGGAGGCGACATCTGGCCCCGGTGGCTGCGCGCTGCCCCTGCCTCAGCGGCAGGGTGCTTCTGCACGCCAGCTGCTGGGGAACATGGGCGGGAGGGTACTGTTGCCCACCGGCCCTGCCCGTGGGCTTCCTTCGGGCAGCCGGTTTGCCACCAGGGGTGCGGAGCCCTGGACTGAGAGATGGGGCCTACAGAAAGCCACCCTGTGCCTCTCGGGAAGGGGGGAGTGTTGGTGCAGCGGAAGGAGGGCGGCACCATCTGGCGGGGGGCTGTTCCCCTACACGGGCATAGGGAGCTGCCCCTGCTCCGAGGAGGCCGCGCTGCCCTTCCCTGCGCCGAGCACGGGCAGGTGTGCCTGGCACGGAGCAGGCCGTTCCGACGCCCGGGGCTTGCCGTGGCCGCGCGTGGCCCCCCTTCCGTTTGCAGACGGGACTTGAGGGCATCTGAAGTGCGGGGCGAGGCGCTCGGGCATCGGTTCCCTCGCCGGCGTCTCTTTGGGGCCCAGATAAGGATGCTGCTTGGAACATGCCGCATGTTGTGCTAACCCTCCAGATGCCCCGGGAAGAGGCGCGACCAGCCCTGGCAGCGATAGCATCTGTGTGATGGAAAGGTCAGGCTTGCATGGGTCTCTACCTGGAAAGGTATGCTTTGGAGATCTCTGAACTGATCAAGGAGTGGTTGCTGGTTACATTTCTTTATCAGCGTCTTGCCTGCCCGGCCCGTGCCCTTGACGCATTTTGGAAAGGCCGCCCGTGGCTTGAAACAAATCAATGGAGGAGTTGCGTAAAACACGCAAGGTTAGCTGCAGCCAGGCCCGTGTTAGCACGCTTGGAATTTGGCTAGTTGGCATGTTTGCTGGTTTGAAGAATGGCTTTTTTGTGCTGGCTGCGGCTGCCCACTCACGGGGAAAGGAGGACATGGGGGTGGGAGGAAGGGGCTCTGGGGGGCCCAGGCGCTGAGAACCCGCACCCCACCCCCCTCCAGCGCAAGCCGGCTTCAGATCTCTGACAAAAGGGCTCAGCCTTCCCAGAGGCATTCCTTGGGGGGGGGGGGGGATGGTGACATCTGTCAGGCGGCCCCAGTCCCTCCTCCCCCGAGGTCAGGGCCGGCATCTTCCCAGTGGGCCTATAAAACAGAGGGAACTGGCCGGCCCTGCACCGGCTCCCTGGGATCGCCCCCTTTGGACGCAGGCAGGCGGAGACGGGCAGGTGAGTCTCCGGCTCCTTCAGCCCTGCCTCCTTTGTCTGTTCGAAGGTGCTGCAAGCTTCAGTCACTGCCTCAAAGGGATCTGCTGAAGGGCTCTTTTCAGGGGAGGCTTCCTTGCAAAGCGGGGTGTCGCTAGCCTTTGGGGAGGACCCGGTGGGCCAGGGAGCGCCCCCCCGGGGAACGGCCTGCAGCCACGTGGCCACTGCGCCCAAGCGCTCTGCTGCGGAGCCCGTGGAGCCCTTCTGCGCAGCTGGATCCTGCCCGGCCTGCCGCCCAGCCTGCAGAGCCCTGGTGGGCAGAGCAGCAGAGCCCGCCGCAGCAGCCCGCCTCCTCGGTGCGGTGCGTGGCCGGCTCCCACTGGCAGACTGCGCGTGGAAACGAGACTGGAGCGACCTGGGCCCCTGGCGTGGGCGCGTGCGAGAGCCTCTGGGTTCTGCCCGAGGCAGAGGCAGACGGGGCAGTCGGCATCGAGGAACCGCTCCGCTGCCTTTTGCTGGCGAGCTCCTCGGGGCAGCGGCCGGTGCGCGGAAGCAAGCGAGGCTGCGGAGACCCGCCAGTCAGAGCAGCTCAAGGAGGCGCGCAGCAGAAGAGCGGTTGGTCCCTGTGGCCCCTCTCCTCCCCTCCCCTCCCCTTTGGCTCTGCTGCTATTCGCCCCCCCCCCCCTTGCTGGACTGCCTGCCAAGGGCAGCGAAAGAGCAGAGAAGGCTGGCCCGAAACCCACTGCGGCTGCGGCACCGGCCCCGGCCAGCCACAACTCCGCGAGCATCACGGGGCACTTTGCACCCGACGGGAAGCTCGCCGGCCCTTCCCCACAGGCCTGCGCATGGAGCGGTGGGCGGGAGCCGGCCAGCGCCACCAGCCCGCAGCTGGAGGGAGCTCTGTGCGCCCCCTCGCCGCTTCCCAGAAGGGCCTGGCGGAAAAGGTCCCTGGCGCAAGCACCGCGGCAGCCACTTCTGGGGTGCCAAGGCTTCCCGCAGGCCTGCTGCTGCCAGCACTTGTGGGGGGCTCCCCAGAGGCCTGCCCCACGGCCCTTCCTGTCCCTTCCTCTCTTTCCAGAGCTGTGAAAGCAGGAAGATGGGCCCGATGGCCTACTTCAGCATGGGGCTCGTCAGCTGCCTGGTGGGTGGACACTTCCTGGGCGGTGAGTCCTCACTCAAGCCCCTGATTTGAACAAGAGCGTGCTCTTTCTCACCCCCCCCACTCATGTAACCCCTGCGAACTCAATGGGACCCCCGGCCACAGCCGGGCGCGGCCCTTCAGCCTGTGCTCCAGGTCCTGTGTGTCCAGCACGGGAACGGAGGGCGTGGGGCCCTGCGCTCCCCACCCAGGGGGCCGCTAACGCCGCCTCCTGTCCACGCAGGAGCCGCGGCCGAGCCGTGCCGTGCCAAGGGGCTCTCCCGCAATGGCCGCTGCTACCTCTACTTCCCCGAGGAGGTGACCTGGCCGGAGGCACAGGTGAGAGGCGACGGATGGGCCCCGAGGCAAAGCCAGACGGGGCGGGGCAGAGCGGCCTGGAGCGGCTCCACTGTGCCCCTGAGGAGTGACGCTGGGGGGGGATGAAGCCCCCAGCAGCCCTGGCCCTCATGTGGGTGGTCGCCTCAGCGGCGGCTCCCTTGGCAGGGGTCTGCCTGGAATCGCAGAGCCCGGCTGAGCCAGGCGCCGGAGAAGCCGGGAGGCTGCCGGGCTCTTCACCCCAAGACTGCCGGGAGGGGCTCCCGCGTGGAGCTTCCTCTGCCCAGGAAGGGAGATGCTGCAAGGCCCGGGGGGAGGGCGCCTCGTCTCCGCCACCCATTGTGCAGGCCGGCCCGGCAGGGAGAGGGCCGCTCTGCCCACCCGCCCCAGGGCTGCGCTGCAGCGTGCCTCCAGAGCGGGTGCCTGCGGCGCCGGCGCCCTCCTCGGGAGCAAAATGCCGGGCGAGGGGATCCTGGCTCCGTGTGTCTTCCACGCCTGCCTGGCTTTTCCCACCGTTCATCCCGCCTCCTTCCCGACCGCAGCGAAGCCTTCCAGGCCATTGGGATGGAGCAGCTGTGATGCCTTCCTGCAAAGGAGTCGCCCTCTGGGGCCTGGCCTGCAGCTGCAGCTGCAGCTGCTCGGTGCACTTCACATGTGGGGCGCCCCCCCACCCCTTGCTCTGGCAGCCGCCCGGGCTCAGGGACCCGGGTTCGCGGGCCAGAGAGGCGAAGCATGGCCTCACTGCGTGCCCTTGGTCGCCTACGGAGCCATTCAGCTTGCCTGGTGCAATGTCTGGTCTGTCCGAATGCACGGGGGGTGGGGTGGGGGGAAGGCGGGCAGAAGAGCTTGCCCACCGCCCTGAAACCCGCAGCTTGCTCCAGGACAGCGGCGGTTTCCGTTCCACCCCAGGCCGCTCCTCCCTGGGCTCCGGCACTGGGTGGCCTGCCCCCACAACGGGCACCTGTGCGGACGTCTTGGCTTGCCGGCCTTCCTGCTGCGGTGGCGGCAGGGCTCGGGGCCGGGCAGGGGCACGGGCCGCCCAGCGCGGGGCTTGCGGGCCCCCTCGCCCGGTGGGCCGCCTCCTCCCACCACGCAGCCGCTGCAGGTCCGGCCAGAAGGTGCCGGGGCCCGAGCCAGGCGGACGCGTCCGTCGCAGGGCAGCGCTGTCTGTCTCGCCCACACAGCTCGCTTCCTCCTGGGGAGAACTGCGCCTGGGGAGGGGGACCGCTAGGGACAGCCCGCCGAGGCCCCCGCTGCCGCCCCTTCCCTGGCTGCCCTCGGGCGCAGGGCGCCGCCCCAGGGCCGCTTCACGCCAGCAGTCTGGCCCACGGGGAGGGCACCAGACGACCCGAGAAGGGGCCTGGAGGAGACTCTGGGGCACTGAGGGCGTGTTGGGGGGCGATGGGCCCCCTCCCCGTGCTCTGGGGAAGGCTGAGTCAAGGCGGCACTGCAGCCGGTTCCTGCGGTGGTGAGCTCCCCAGGCGGGCAGCAGGGGGCGCCTTGCGAGGCTCCATCCTCCCCGGCAGCCTGAAAACGCGTTCCTCCCCCCTCCCCGGCTCCTGGTCCCGGCAGCTCCCCCCCCCCCCCCCCCCCCCGGGGCCCCCCCGGGAAGGCCGCCCCCCCCCCCCCCCCCCCGGGGCCCCCCCGGCCCCCCCCCCCCCCCCGATCCGCTGGGGCACACGCGGGAAGGCCGCTGCACCCGCTTCCCCTCGTGGGCTCCCGCTGCAGCCGCTTGGGACCAGGTAAGAGCCGGCCTGCGTGCCCAGCCCAGGCCGGCGGGGGGCCGGGGGCGGCTCTGCTGACGCTCTCGCCCGCCCAGGCTCAGTGCCGGCGCAGCCGGGGCCACCTGGTCTCCATCCTGGACCTCACCGAGCACAAGTTCGTGGCCCGCTACCTGCGCCAGGTCCAGGGGTCGGACGACGAGGATGTCTGGCTGGGGATATCCGTCCCTCCCCGGGTGAGTGAGCAGGCGTGGCCCGCCGTGGGCGTGGGAGGTGTGCCCGGCTCCTGGCGGCCACTCCTGGCGGCCGTGGGGCCTGGGCTGCCCCCCTGCGCGCGACAGGGGGTGAAGGGGACACGGGCCGCCCCCCCCCCGCCTGCCACGTGCCTCTTTCTGCCTCGCGCGCGCAGAGCCGCCGGTGGGCGTGGGCGGACGGCAGCCGCGTGGCCTACACCGCGTGGGAGGAGCCCCAGAGCTACTGGGAGCTGGACGGCGACCACTGCGCGCTGCTGGAGGAGTCCTCAGGTGCGTGCGGTGGCGCCCGGGGGCTCTGGCGCGGAGGCGGCGTGCGGTGGCGCCCGGGGAACGTCGGCACACGGGGCATCCGTGGGACCCAGTGCCACCAGGCCCTGTGCTGGCGGTTGAAGGGCGATCTCGCCCGGAGAGCTGCCCCCCGGCCACTCCCTGGGGCCAGGATATGCCCAAGACGCGGGCACCCCGGTCGCCCGGCGTGTGTGCAGCAGGACCGGAGTGGCCGGGGGCAGAGGCTGGGCAAGGGGGCACAAAGCCCATCGGGGGGTGTTGCCAGCCTCCGGCCGCACGGCTGGCGCCGGCATGGCAACCGTGCCTTCTGCTCTCCCCCCTGGGAGCACTGGGGAGGGCCGCCAGATGAGCGCCTGCCCGTCTCGCTGCTGCAGGGGCCCCCGGGGCTCAGTGGGTCTGGGGGGAGGCATGCTGCCCCACTGACGGCTGGTGTGATCCGGCACTGTGGTGGCGGCCGGCAGCTGCTGCCGGGCTTTTCCTCCTCATTCCCACGGCGGCTGCCAGCACTGCTTGGGACCACGAACTCCCCACCACATTGATTGCACGCCCACCCCACAGAACCATAGAATAGTGGAGCTGGGAGGGGCCACGAAGGCCATCGGGGCCGACACCCCAGTCCGAGCTGGGCCTCAGTCCGGTGCTGTTTGGGTCAAACGTGCTCAGCGAAGGGCGGCCACCCGGGTCGGGGGAAGCGCTGAGGGGCCTGTGAGGCCATCCAGCCCCCCCGCCCCACCCCACCCCCGGCTGACTCCGCTTCCTCTCCCCAGGGTTCATGCTGTGGGAGAAGGAGTCCTGCTTCGACAAGAACCCCTTCCTCTGCAAGGTCTAGGCGGACCCCTACAAGCCACGGGCCCCATCCTGGAGGGGCGTCTGCCGGCCTGGCCCCCACCCCTCGGGCACCAGGCGCCGCTGCTCCTCCGCCACCCGTGTGAAGCCGCAATAAACGCCTCGAAGCACTCGCCTGGCTCCCTCGGTCGTGCCCCTGTCGCCTTCGCCCCAGCTGGCTTCCCGCTCTCCCCTGCCCCCGGGAGAGGCGGAGGCGCTGGGCCAGCGCTGAGCCCCCCCCCCCACTGCAGTGGGCTTCTCTGTCCCCAGCTGCAACTTCCGCCTCCCAGGGCCGTTGTGGGGCTCAGCACCTCACGCCCCCCCATCGGGGCAGTTCCTTTGGGGACTGGCACCCCGCCAAGCTGACCGCCCTCTTTCCCAGTCGGGGTGCCGGCCCTCGTGAATGCAATGGGGAGCCCGGGAGAGGACCCCTGGACCAGAAGGCCCCCCCCCCCGCTGGTCCAGCAGGCGGGGTGCGTGTGTGGCGACCTGTGGGACTGAAGGGGCATGTCTGGAGACCCTTCCAGGCAGGAATTACATAGGCGCAGCTCCCACCAACTTCCGCACACGGAGCAGAACGGCCCACCGGGGAGCCTCCGGTCACGCAGAACAAAGAGGCCGGAGAGCAGTTTGGCACAAAGTGTAGCGACTCTCTTTTGCATCGGGGGTCCCCCAGAGCCGCCTCGGCGGGCAGGCAGGAGACAAGGCAAGGCAAGCCGAAGCCCCGTCCCGCCGGCCCGGCCCGGCCCCAGTCCGCGTCGCCCTCGCGCGCTCTCGGCAGGGCAGCCCAGGAATCCGCCCCCGCCTCACGCCAAGGCCAGGCCTCCGCGGTGAGGGGCTTCGCGGCGCTGCCCCCCACCGGCACCGGGGGTGCCGCAGGCGGGGCTGGAAAGACCGGGCCCCCCGGCGCCGGCGCAGGGCCCGGAGAGGTCTGCGCAGGATCTTTGCCTCAGCCGGCCCTGCGGCCGGGAGGCGGCTTCCGCGTGGCTCCGGCTGACGTGGGCCCACGGCGCGCGGCCGGCTCAGTTGGCCACCTTCCTGGCAGGCGTGGCAAAGAGGGCCGCAATGTCCTGCATGGCCTGGCGGATGCTCTGCCCAAAGCGCTTGGAGTCCTGGGGGCGAAGGAAAGGAGGCCCTGAGCACGGCCCCCGCCTCGGCTGCGGCAGGCCAGGTGCCCACGGCCTGGAACCGCCCGGGAGAGAACAGCAGGGGGCGCAGGAGACAGTGGCCCCCATGGCTTCAGGCAACGGGGGGGGGAGGGCAGCTGCTGGTCGGGGCAAAAAAACGAGCTGGCACCCCCAAGGGGCAAGGGGGGGCTGGCCTGAGGCACCGCTGCAGCCCCTGGGCCGGCCCTGCCTCTGAGGGGCTGGGCGGGACACGCCGCTGGGCCCAGGGTGCCTGCACCGTGGGGGGGGGCTCCCCAGGGCCGCCTCAGCCCCCTCTCCCCAGCCAGCCCTCGATGGGGGAGCATCCTGCCAGCCCCACCACTGCTGCTGCTGGGCTCCCCAGCTGCCCCCCCCCCGGCATGCTCAGCTGGCCGGCCCACGGCTATGCCTCGCGACAGCCCCCACTCGCTGGGAAGCGCACAGAACCCCTTGGATGGGGGGGCTCCACCGGTAACGCCCAGGCGCAGCAAGGGGCTAGAACCCTGCCGGAGCCTCAGCCCTGCCTGGCCGGGACCCTTCTAGCGGGAAGGGAGCCGCCTCGTGGCGGCAGCCGAGCACCGCCAGCCCCGGCTCCCCACTGTGCCGAGGGCCCCCTCCTCAAGCACGCACCCCCCCAGGACAGCCGGAGGCCCCCCGAGGCAGCGGCAGCAGGGGAGGGCGCTCACCGTCTCGGAGCTGGAGAACTTGCTGGAGACGTGAAAGGTGATCAGGTTCTCGCCGGCGATGATATAGGAGACCCCGTAGCCGTCATCCGCCACCTGCAGGGGGGACGGGCAGCCGGCCCGTGAGATGGGGGGGGCGGGGGGCGGGGGGCCGGCTCGCAAGCACCGTGTGACGGAAAAGGTGGGGGCAGGTGCGTGACGCCGCTCCGCATCCCAGGCCGCTGCCCCCGCCCGGCATGCCCCCACCTCTCTGCCGCTGCGCCTCAGGCTTGCCCTCGCCCCCCCCCACGGCTTCCAGCTGCCCCCCACCCTCTGGCCAACAGCCCAGCCTCAGGCGGAACCGACAGATGCCCTGCCGTGGCCCTTGGGCCAGCAGAACGGCGGCCCAGGAGCCCGTGCCCCCCTTCTCGCCCTCCCGCCCCCTGGACATCCGGGCCCCTTGGTGCTTCCTGCAGCCCCCGGCCCCTCCTCCCCAGGACTGCGCCCGCCCCCCCCGCAGGACTGCCACGCCGGAGCCCGGGCTGCACCGCCTGCCTTCCCCACCTGCCCCCCCCACCCCGCCACGCTGCGGGGCAGCCGCTTGAGGCCAGGCCGGCTGTGGCCCGTGGCTTTCGGGGAGGGGCGGCCTTCCCCACTCCCTCCCAGGAAGAGCCTCCCGAGCGGTGCTGCTGCAGGCGGGTGCTGCCACTGGGCAATGCCCCCCCCCCCACCGCCTGGCCCCCCAGGCCAGCGCATCTCGGGGCAGGGGAGGGGAGGCCAGGCTGAGCAAGGAAAAGTGCCCGGGGTGCTGCAGGGCCAGCCCCCCAGGGGGCTTCGGAGGCGGGCTGGGAGAACGCGGAGCCCGGGGGGCTCCGCTCTGGGACCGATTCTGCTCCACCTTTTCCTCAGGGACCTCGAGGAGGGGAGAACCCGTCTGCCCTCCAGTCGCGCACAACGCAAAGGTGGGGGCCGTGGCCTCCTCTGGGGAGCAGGAGGTCCAGATGGGGGAGATCGGGCAGGCCGCGGAAGCGGGCGGGGACAACGGGATGGCGCTGCCTGCGGAGAAGTGCCAGGTCTTGCCCTGGGGGCTCCGGAATGGGTGTCCTAAGTGCAGGTTGGCGGACCAGCGCTTGTGAAAGGGACCTCAGGGTGCCGGTCGCCTGCAGGCTGAACGTGAGCCAGCCGTGTGATGCGGTGGCCAAGAGGGCGAACGCCTCCCTCGGGTGCATGGCCAGAAGTGTGGCTTCCAGATCGAGAGAGGTGTTACTGCCACTCTGCGTGACTCTGGTGCGCCCGCAAGTGGAGCCTTGTGCTCAGTTTTGGGCCCCTCGTTACAGGAAGGATATAGCCAGGTTGGAGTCAGTGCAGCGCAGGGCCACAAGGTTGGTGGCCGGTTTGCAGGGGAAGCCGTATGGGGCGAGACTGGGGGAACAGGGTGTCTTCAGCCTGGAGAAGAGGGGACTCAGAGGGGATCTCTCCGTGACTCATGCGAGGGGATGCCATTCAGAGGAGGGCTGCGAGCTGCTCTTCCGTGCGGTGCAGGGCGGGATGCGTTCCAGTGGGACAAAGCTCAAGGACCGGGGTTGCTGGTCGGATGTCGGGACGTTGTTCCTGCAGGTTAAAGCCCCTGGGATCTGGGCCGGGCTTCCACGGGAGGTGCGGGAGGCCCCATCACTGAGAGTGTTCAGGAAAGGATGGGATGGCCAGGTGTGGCGATTACCTGAGCAGAGCTTCCTGCAGCCAGGGATCAGACTAGGCCAGTGATGGTGAACCTTTCAGCGACCGAGAGCTCAAACTGCAACCAAAACCCACTTATTTATCGCAAGTTGCCAACAGTGCAATAAAACCAGAAAATTGAGGTTTTAGTACAGAAAAAGCAACTCACAGCCAGTCCAAGCAAATATATATATATCCTTGGCAGTGCACTGAATGGCCATGCGAAAGCTCGGGCGAGTCATGGGAAATGAGACATGGCTCGTGATGTCATCATCTGGCGCCACTACTGCTGTCTGAACAGGCGCATGACCCATATGTGCGCCGCTATCCAATGCTCGGGTGCTGGGCTGTTGCTGCGGTGAAATGTCTTAGGCACTAGCAAAGAGAACTCTGTGCGCCTGTTGTGTGCCTGTAGGTTGTGCCTGTAGGTTCGCCACCACTGCCCTGACCCTACCCTGGTGCACACCCCTAACCCTAATACAGGGCTGAAATTCCATTGAAAGTGGTGATTTTGAAAAATCCTTCCTGGAGTAGCTTTTTCTGCCCAGCTCACCATTTCTGCCCATTCTGAACACAATCCACCGATCAAAATCATGCCAGGACACCTCCTTTCTCTAACCCTAACCCTAACCTGGTGCACACCCCTAACCCCAATGCAGGGCTGAAATTCCATTGAAAGGGGGCGATTTTGAAAAAGCCTTCCTGGAGTAGCTTTTTCTGCCCAGCTCATCATTTCTGCCCATTCTGAACACAATCCAATGATCGAAATCATGCCAGGACACCTCCTTTTTCTAACCCTAACCCTACCCTGGTGCACACCCCTAACCCTAATGCAGGGCTAAAATTCCATTGAAAGGGGGCGATTTTGAAAAAGCCTTCCTGGAGTAGCTTTTTCTGCCCACT